TTTAAGGAGAGTGACAAAGAATTGGAGGCATTTCATCTCAAGTGCTAATCCTCCTCGTTTGTACATACGAGTGTACAAATCGAGTCGAGTCAAGCAATGCATTAATTGAATCGAGTGTAATTTTTTCTATTATTGATCGAACTCCATGAATAAATCTTGTTTCGACTAGCATCAACACAACTCAATAACATTATATAAATGCTCAAAATCAACTTAGATTTTATTATAGTTTTTAAAAAGACTTGCAAAAATACTACATTAAAAATGTGCAATTTTGGACCCCGAAGACAAAAACAAATTATAAATTGACTATTGGTAAACAGTGAAAAGTAATGTGATTGTAATTAAACCAAAAAAAGTAGTAAATTTTAAAAGTTAAAAAAAAATTATAGATGAATGATGTAAATTATTCAATTGTTATTTGATTTCGAGTCAAATTCATAAGGTAATTACAAGTATATTGGAATGACTCATTGAACGATCAAATATAGAAAATTTCAACTCGAGCCATGCTCGAATTGGAGTTCAACTCAAGTTCAGTCAAATTAAATCTATATATATATAAAAAGAATTACCATTTTATAAATATAGAAAGTTTTTCCCGCCAAATCATTAAATATATTCTAATTATAGTAATAGTTGAACAATTGTAAATAAGCACAAAAAATGGCTCCTTAAATGCAGTGTTCTTTAATTATAGCTTGGTGTTCCTTAATTATAGCTTGTGTTCCTTAATTATAGCTTGCACAATTAAATGGCGTGGATTGGCTTTTTTTTTAAACTTTCCCACAAAATAGCTTGCATAATTTTTGTTTTACATCTCAATCTGATTTTTTTTTTTTCAACACATTAATCAATTGTTTTTAAAATAAAAAACATTTTTTATTTAAAATTGTTTCAACACTGTCTGGGGGTAAAATGACATTAATTAAAAACAGATTTCTTTAAAAAAAAAAAAAATTGTTTCACAGTATTCATCGAAAAAAAACTGTATAATATTTTTTTTGGTGTGTACAAAGTAAGTTGCTAAATAATTGAAAAGAATCCCATCTTTCAAAGTATTCTCATATAAACTAAAACTTGGACAATATTTTGTCCGTCTCCATTATGTTTCATCAAATAATAATAAGTAAACGATTGAATCATAAATAGTCTTTTAATTTGCAACAAACGATATAGATACTAACAAAGCAACATTGAAATCCATATATTTATCTTATCTAAAAAAACTAACATTTCTAATCTTCCAAAAAATCTGAAAAAAAAAATACCTTGAACTATGTAAAATAACAAATTTATGACACATTTATCTTCAACTAATTGTTTCACATTGACAGAATAATATATAATACTTTTCATCAATTTCACATTGACAGATTAATATATACATAGTTTTTTTAGTGTGAGATTATTTGAAATTATATAAATTTTTTATTACAGAATAATTAAAAAAAAACGAATAAGATTTTACAATTTTAAATAAGTTTTTTTTTTTTTTTGGGTACAAACAATTTTAAATAAGTTAATACATCTATTAACAATTGAATCTTCCAAATAATGTGAATTCTTAGTAGATTAAAAAAACGTATAAAGATTTATAGCAGATTTATCACGTGTGAATTGCAGATTTATAGCAGATTTATTTAGTCAAACTAAATAAAAGTTTTTCTTTCCTCAAAGTCTCTAAAACTCATCCAAATCAAACATTATCTTTTATTCCAGTTTTAATCTATATATTCCATTCTTCTATCTCAGAATGTCCTACGCAAGCTGTAAGTTTTTTTTTTTTTTTTTTGTCGTCATACATTTTCTTCATCATATTTATAATTTGTTCATCATATCTTTAAGTTTCTTACGGTTTTGTTTTCAGTACAAACAATTTGAAACAGAATACCAATGAAAACCAATGACTAAACATACAGTACAAACAAGTATAGATTTGAAAGAATAAAAATAATATATATATTCATTAAATGACTAAATTTACCTGTTAATTATGTTATTGTTCTTCATTTTAGCTGTTGTAAGCTATACCTTTTTCTTCTGCATACTCCATTCGAAAACCTCAAATTAAAAACAAAAATGGTGAGTATCAATAAAATCTGTCAGGTATACAATATACTATATGAAAAATAATTGATGAAATTGTACAAACAAGTATAAGTCTTGACTAAGAACTTGCCTGTCTGATTCATTGTTGCTCGGTTCTGTGACGTAGGTGTGTAACCTGATTTAGAACATGATTATTTTGACTCCACCTCATATATTTAGGATAATATATTTGATGTCAGTAATATATAATGATATGATATTCAATAAAAACTAAAACTGGACAGCACTAAAACACATTGAATCAATCAACGGACACATAGACTGTCATCATTCTATCCAGGTTTATTTCAAAGAAAGAAAGCCCCATGACAGACCATACTATTAACAACCCAAAATGATGAATACAATAAAATCGTTCAAGTCACAACATATAATATAAAAAAGTACCCATAGGAAAAGATTAAAAAAGAAAAATAAAATGAGTTTGCATTCGATAAAATATTTATAAAATGTTGTAAGAGAAATATGGTGTTGTCAAAAAATAAAAATAAATGAATAACCAAGTGTCATTGAGTGTTTCTTTTCTCTATAATCTATACTTATATAATAAAGTATCATATTTACCAAATTTAGTAGGTTGAAAAGTCAAAGTAATTAATGCATTGCTATTTCTATCCAAAATTTTATTTAATTATTTTATTTATTTGTCTTATATCCCATACAATTGGTTTAAGAAAAAAAATCTCATAACATCCGATAAGTAAAAAAAAAGTACGTAAAATCTTTACTAAACTAAAAATGGCTTTATTTATTTGTCCGATTCTATAATAACATCGATTTACTAAAAAAAAATCTCATAAAATCGGTGAAGTCAAAAATTGTACGTAAAGTTTATCTATACTAAAAAATGCAAATTCAAAATTCCTTATCTAATTTTTGTTTAAAGTATTTTATTTAATATTTATTTTAATGAAATATTGATAGGATTGCTGGAACTGAGTCAATTTTGAAATCGCGTTGTTTGGCATGAGAGGATTATTCACATTCTATATCTGTTTAAAGCATATTATTTAATATTATTTAATTAATTTATTTAATATTTAATTGTTTTATCCATGACATTAGTTTTGTCAAAAAAATTGAACAAACAAACAATAAAAAGGCACGGGATTAATTACATTCGACTTACAAAAAATTTATGGGTGTACGTAAATATTTAACAATGTTGTTTTAAGTTCCTTAAATAATACTATAACTATGCTGTTGAAATTAATTTGTTTTATGGGTGATGTAAATATGTTGTTTAAAGTTCCCAAAAATATTTTTTTTAAAATTATAACAAGTTCCTTAAATACTAATATATTTAAAGTATATCCATGTTGTAATATATTAAAGTCAAAACAATGTTGGAAGGCTTTTGAATTATGTAATTTCAAATTATCTAAATTAATTAATTTAAATGTTTAATCCAATTAAATCTTCAACCCATGGAGTATTTTTACTAATCCCGTGAGCATGTTATTTTGTTATTGTAATCAAATTATACACTATTTTACTAATAAATTATTTAATATCTATGTACAAGGTGGTATTTAATAATATATGATTGTTTTTTCGTCGAATACTATTTTATTGTATAATTTTCCTGCGTCATATAAAACTTTTATTGAATATTACATCTTATAATACAATATTTCCCAAATAAATATATCTCGTGTCTCGCACAGGTCCCGTACTATATATATCTCATACATTTTTTTTATTCATTTATATAATTATAAGGATGGATAAATAACCTTAAAATTGTGCACCCCGTGCATCGCACGGGCTCTGTACTAGTGTTGATTCGAATCGTTTGCAGCAAAAAAAAAAAAAAAGTAACGTAGAATTTGTGTAAATGTGCAATATTTTGAGGACCGGAAAGCGAAAAACAAAAATTGGAGGGAGCTGCCTGATGATAGCGAGTCCCGCGCCAGCCATGAAACAAAGTTTGGCAACAACAAATAACTACTGACCCAATCCGCCATTTGAGCCACTTTCTATGGTCCTTCGTTTCAGATTCTTTTCTTTCTATCCTCACTGAATTTCGGCCTCGTCGCACACAACGTTCGTGATTTAATGCGGATCACGCGTTTTTTGGCCCGTTCATATAGACGGATTTCTCTAATTTGCCTCAGTTTGTGAACGCTTGAAGATTTTGCTGCGTGATTCGTTTTTCATCCCTAAGAGAACCAAAGCGTGTTCGATTTGTTTGCAGAGGTTCTGAATTCTTATTCCTTTTGTTGTGATTTGGTTTGATCTATGTTTCTTCTGCTAATGGCGGTGATTGGTATGCCTTATGTATGATGATGGGATTATGTGTTGGTGTTCTAAGCTAGCTTATGCCATTTTTGAATTATAGATTTTGTATGGATCTGGCGTGCGCTGTGAATTGTGTCATTTCATTTGGGTCAGATGCAGGCAATTGACATTTTTAGGTGTTTGGGTGCTTTCACTTTTGATCCAATGGTGGTTAACCAGTGTGGTGTTTCTGGTAACTTCAAAATGTACCATGTGTCTCAAAGATGCTAAAAGCGTCTCGATTTTAACGGGTAGATATTAGCTTATTTGTCGACCTGCTGCTTTTTGTTTCAACTTGGCTGGAGAAGTCTGGCATTGTTGTTTTATTGGTGAAAATTTGAGTATGAGGTGGAATAGGTTTTGGTGCACGTGTTGTTGTTGGGAATTCATTCGTGTTTGATGTTCGGATGCATCAAGCTTATTTTAAGCCCCAACATTTGGTCAAGTGTGTGAGACATGATAGAGCTGTTGAATATGTTGAACGATGATGAAATACGTGAATAGATAATGTCGTTGTTGATTCATTGAATCTAGAGATTTTGTTTGTTTTGCTTTTACTGATTGGAACTCGCATACATTCTTTATTGTTTATGCATGCAACTAAATTCATGGTGGCCACTACTCATTTGGTTCGTATTACAGTTGCTGACATGGAGTTAGGAATGGCGGGTTTGAGTATTGATTCTGAGAACTTTGTGAAGCAATTTCACATCCCGAGCTATATCCTTGTTCCGGAAGAAACTGTTCAGTCTTTGCCCCATGCACCCGAATGCCCTGTTTTGGTGTTTATCAATTCAAGAAGTGGTGGTCAATTAGGTGGTGATCTTCTTATCACATATCGGTCTATACTGAATGAGAAACAGGTGAATTTGGTTTACACCATTTCGAGATTTCTTTGGTGCACGAAGTCTATATTTCTTGATGAGTCTTACTTTTGTGGATCTCTGGAACTTCAATTCTGGTGGCTTTGCCCTAATTTATTATATGAATGTAGATTCTTAAACAAGAAGACCCTCTAGATATATAGGTACTGGTTCGCTATATTGCTGTGGATGTTCGAAGGATTTTAAGTTTAGTCTAGTTTCATTAATATATCGAAATCCTTTGTTCATGCACCGACTCCATTGTTTTTTCAGGTTTTTGATTTAGGATCAGAAGGCCCTGAGAGTGTACTCCGTAGAATTTTTCTCAATCTTGAACGGCTGAAGAACAATTGTGACGAATTTGCGACTAAACTTGAGAAGAAGCTGCGAATAATTGTGAGTGGTGCTATAAGAAAACATGGCCTTTTCATAGTGTTTTTGTGGTGCGTATTGAAATTAATGCATGCGAAATCTGTATTTTCTGGTGAAACTATTAATTATAGACTGTTACGCATAGGTTGCTGGTGGAGATGGTACAGCTGGCTGGCTTCTTGGGGTGGTTTCTGATCTGAAATTGTCCAATCCACCACCAATAGCAACTGTACCTTTGGGAACGGGAAATAATCTGCCATTCGCATTTGGTTGGGTAAGACAAAGGCTGTATCTTTCGTTGATACAATGGTTGATGCACTGCATCTACGCTTATAGTGTATTGCAGCTGTTATGATAATAAGTGCTTGCTGTGTCATAAGTTATACTTAGTCACATTGTGCATATGTTTTCTTTCTTCTTCCCTCCTTTTCACTTTTTGTCGACATTCTGCTAGTCACAGTCTTTTCTTGTCTTTTTTGGACATCCTATTTCTGGGTGTTAATAAAGCCAGTGTCTCTTGAAATACGGTATTGTAGGATTTCACTTCGTTTCTGAAAGAGTTGTCCGTTCGTGTGGCATTCTTTGTAGCAATTTTGAGAGACTTAGTTTTATAATTTCAATTGCAGGGTAAAAAAAATCCTGGTACTGACCGTAATTCTGTGCTCTCGTTCTTGGATCAAGTGAGGAAAGCAAAAGAAATGATGATCGACAGGTTACTCTAACATTAACAAATTTCAGTTTCGTAGTAATAACATTTCTTTTAGTACTCTTTTCTGAAGACAATTGCTTGTCTAAGAAGGTTCGATGACGATGTATAATGCAGAGATCCACTATTTGCTAAGGATTTACTACCAATTTCTTTGCCCACCTAAAAAGTTTGTATTATCTCTTTCAGTTGGCACATTCTCATGAGGATGAGAGTACCGAAAGAAGGAACCTGTGAGCCACTTGCTCCTCTGGAGTTGCCGCATTCCTTACATGCATTTCATCGGGTTTCCTCAACTGACGATCTTAATGTGGTGAAATTTCTCTCACTAGGTTTACTAATGTTGTAGACATTTATATTTATATGTGTGGATTAAGGATTAGTACAATGCTGTCCTGCTCTGAAATTCTTCACCTCACCTGCTACTTACATTTATTAGCTGAAACCTCAGTTTTTGTTTTGCCAACCAAGGCAAAGAAATTTGCATTTGTAACATGGCAATTCGACTAAAATGAGAATGTAATCTCAAGAATTAAAACAGCCTGCTCTTGATTGGAATAAATAGGCCTGTTTGATTTCTATCAGTCAAGTTTGAAGAAAATAAATAGTATTCAAGTTTTCTATCGATGATAAATGCCAGTAACCCAAACTTTAGCACTATAGAAAAGCAAATTTTGCAGGTAAGTCTGTGTATTCAAAGTTAATATTAAGACAAGCATGCGTCTGAGCATTCTTTTATAGTTGAAAATCTCAGTCATTCTATTCCCAGCTGCTGCTCATTTTATTGCTTCGTAAATTTCCAGGAAGGTTACGACACTTTCCGAGGAGGATTTTGGAACTATTTCAGCATGGGTGAGTGTCTGCCATACTTTCACCAATTAGCACTTACATAATCAAATTTCTTATCCTTGAATGCATAAACTGTAAAATTTGGTAGTGTGAGATTTGCAATCGTTTATGAATCTTATATCCCTATTTAATTTACACAGTTGTAAATTTTCCGCATCCACTCCCTGTTCGAACATTTTCCACAATTGAAAACATAGTAACTATGAATGAATGTGTAAATTTGAGATGATTGACAAGACAAGTAATATTAATTGAGCTTATCTCAAACTATAAGTTGAATAGTGAAAGAGCAATGAACATTTAGTGAAAGGAAAGAAGAGATATAAATAGTCGTTTAAATTTTAATACTCTGTCACCTAAAGTAGTCATTTTGAATTAACTGTTGTATCTTCTGCATTCCTTTGCAGGTTTTAGAAGTTAATATGTAAAAAATGAAATTGGCACATATGATCAAATGGCTTTTTCTACTAACATATCCTGCTACCTTTCTTCTATTCAGGAATGGATGCACAGGTATCATATGCATTCCACTCAGAGCGCAAGCTTCATCCCGAAAAATTCAAAAACCAGCTGATTAATCAGGTAAAAGCTGTGTACGATCTAAGAGTTTATAATCCCCTATGATTACGTGTCCTCAAAATCAAATGTTCCTATGTTTAAGATGACCGATGAATCGCTACTATTTCTGTAATTTTTCATCACTCACAATGATTTAAATGGATTAGAAATTTTGGCTTATATGAAACTGGCAAAAGTCTGTTTTGTAAAGAGATGCTCCTTTATTTGCATCACAGAGTACATATGCAAAGCTTGTAGGCCAACAAGGATGGTTTTTTGCTTCCCTTGTTCACCCTTCATCAAGGTTAGATTATATACTTGTCCAGTAAAACTGGCTAATATAACCAAATTTTTTACATGGATTAGGCTATCTTTGCTAATGGTTATCCTCTCTTTCCCGGTAATCTTTTATTTTTTGCTGGAAGCTAAATTACCATGATACAGGAACATGGCTCAACTATGCAAAGTTAAGGTCATGAAAAAGCACGGTGAATGGCAAGACCTCCAAATCCCTCAGAGGTAACATTCTCTCCCTCTGCTGAAAACTTGCACGCTTTTAATTATGCATAAGGGTGTCTTTATACTCTGCGTAGATTTGTGTCCGTGAATTCAATTAATTGTTTCTTTTATTTTTTGGAAGTCGTTGAGAACTATACTCACACGCATGAGTTGATAACAATGCTAGATCAATAGCTTCAGATCAAACTGTATATGAAAAATGAGAGTCAACTAATATACTAATATGCCGTCTTTTATCCATACAGCATCCGGTCGATCATATGCCTTAATCTGCCGAGCTTTTCCGGAGGTCTAAATCCTTGGGGAACTCCGAATAACAGAAAACGACGTGATGTTAGTAGTCAGATTTCATTTTCTTCATATTTCAGAGGCATGGATTCAAACCAAAAAATAAAATAAACACACATTTTGTTTCTGTTGTTGATATACAGAGAGACTTAACTGCCCCATTTGTAGACGATGGGCTCCTAGAAATTGTTGGTTTTAAAGACGCTTGGCATGGACTCGTCTTACTTGCTCCAAAAGGTCACGGGACTCGACTTGCACAGGTTCGTTTTCAACTTTTTACGTTCGTTTTTTTTCAGCAAATGAGATTAGATATCATATTATACTGTAGTAGTCCTAGCCGTAAACAATGATTTGTTCGCAGGAATAATTTATAAAAGATTAACACTATTTTTTTTTTTTTTTCGCTACACGGCAGGCTAATCGCATTCGATTCGAGTTCCGAAAAGGTGGGGCCGAATCCACGTACATGAGGATCGATGGGGAGCCGTGGAAGCAGCCACTCCCGGTCGACGATGACACTGTTGTGGTCGAGATTTCGAACCTTGGCCAGGTCAAGATGCTCGCCACACACGATTGCCGAGCGAAGAGCTATCTCGACCCCTCGTCTCCTGTCGCGCAAGACGACGAGAAGGACAGTGACAATGACGACGAGTCTGTGGGGGCCGAGTGGCGGAAGTTTGGAGCTGCCGACACGTTCCGGATCCCAGATGACGTGGACATTTCTCAACTAAGTTGACCCACAATCTCTCTCTCTCTCTCTCTCTTTTTTACTTTATACAGATTTATCAGCAGATTTTTTTATTTTTTTTTGGCGAGGGAAGTTTAGAGAATATGAACCATTTCTCGATTTATGCGTGTCATCCTTGTTCATGGGTCATGCTAATCTTTTCTGTATCGTTTCAATTTTATTAGATGTCCAGGAAGGGACAAGTTTAGTTTAGAGAATATGAGAATTGTAGACTTGCTAATTGGATCATACTTATATGTTTATTTGGACGCTGCATAGTAAGAATTGGCACTGCAATGGGTTTTTCACATTATAAATAAATAGATAATATGTCTGAGGAAGAAGGTGAAGTTCTCACAATAAATAACACAAATTTTACAATGCAGCAAATAACTAGCCGCTATTGCTGAACTTGTCTACATGCAGCACAGCACAAAACTGGATCAAAAAATAAATAAATTAATTAATAAATAAATAAATAAATAAATAAATAAATAAATTATAGCATAGAAAAACAAAAAAGGATGAATGTGTATTAGATACCAGAGAATGTGTAACGAGCAAACAAGAAGGAAACTCGGTCACTCTCATAATTATTCAAAGGTATTTATAGTAAAATTTTACACCTAAAACGCAAATCTCATATAAATTTACAACTATTACATAGATCTCCAATAATAATAAACCTTACAAATCCAATTTTCATGGACTCACATATTTGCAAATGTATCTAATTTAATATTAGTTTTTCACCATATAAATAATTTTTTAGGCTATTTAATACGAGACATAACCATGTCATTCCCACCTGTCCGCTTTTAATATCTTCCTACCACTTCACCAAAAATACATATTTTTTTTTTATATATATACTAAGTTTGATAATAAGTTACTTATAGTTTATAAGTGAATTTGATTTGATTTTATAGCTAATAAGTGAATTTTATTTTATAGCTAATGATAACTGACGACGAATGAAAATCAAGCTGATATGATAAAAGTGTTTGGTAAAATAGTTGATATGATGAAAATGTAGTAAAATTGGCTGATAAATGAGCTAAAATAAAAATTTCAAAAAACTTGTTTAAAAAGTTAAGGGGACGCTTGTTTATGGATTTTTTCAACCAAAATATTTCATTTTGTTAACTATAGTTAAGGTTGAAAAAGTAATGTGGTTAATTGTTAGTGGAATTTAAAAAATATATTAAAATATTATTTAAAATAAAAATGATTAAAGTTGATTTGATATAAAGTAGGAGATAAATGATTGGAAATGATTGGTAGTTAAAATTATGTGAGTTGATGAATAGTGAATTAAAATTGATGTGATGTGTAAGAATGATTGGTTTTTATTATTTAATTGTATGAATAATATTAAAGATAGTGAGATTGAGTTAAAGTTGAGTTAAATATTTGAGTTGAAAAAATTGGATTGAAAAAATCCATAAACAAGCATGCCCTAATATATGAAGTTTATTTGACAAACTCGAACATGTTAAAAAAGTTCGACCTAGTAAATCAAGTTTATTTGAATAACATAAAGTTTATAAGCTAAAGTGATGTTTACCAAAACATACCCGAAATATGACAAAATAAAGTGAGCAAATTGAGCCCTTTTGTATTAGTTCTTCACAATATACGGATCACATCCACTAAATGATTGTGATTTAAAAATCAACTAGTTTGAAAAAACGATTACACGCTAGTAAATCAATAATAGGAAAATTTCACGTTTACAAATACAATATTACTAGTACAATATCTATGTACAACATTAGTGTTGAGTTAAGAAATATATGATGATAGTTATTGATGTCTAATACCAAACCTAACTCCAAAGCAAAAATAAAATAAAAACAACATCACGAAGCATAGATTTTTGCCATCTCAACATTCGAAGCGTGAGAATCTGCCACTTAGGCTTAACACGTTTTGAATTAAGGGAAAAATTTTTTTCACCCCATAACAAAGACAAGTTAAATTTTTCACACCACCCAATAAAAAACTAAGTTTTTCACCCCAAAAAGTGCGAAGGTTATGCGAAAACTGTCGCATATTCATCGCATAATTGTTCGTATGTTAAGGTTATGCGAAAAACTATCGTATAAACTGTCGCATATCAATTGCATAACTGTCGCATATTCATCGCACAATACCTTCGCACAGTTATGCAATTGATATGCGACAGTTTTTCGCATAACCTTCGCATATGGACAGTTATGCGATGAATATGCGACATTTTTCGCATAACCTTCGCACAATTATGCAATTGATATGCGACAATTATGCGACAGTTTTTCGCATAACCTTCGCATATGGACAGTTATGCAATGAATATGCGACAGTTTTCGCATAACCTTCGCACTTTCTGGAGTGAAAAACTTAGCTTTTTATTAGACGGTGTGAAAAACTTAACTATACTTCAAAACGGTGTGAAAATAGATATTTTCACTTGAATTAATATATAGGGGGATCAGTTTACATATATTTTATTAATTTAATAAAATAATACATAAACTCAACAACATAAAACGAAACACGAAATCCCATCTTAATATCTTATTAACATGAGTTTAGTAAAGTCTAAAGAAAGCTAATTACTTAATTACCAAGTGTAACGAGATTAAATCTTTATATGTAACCATACAATAGTTTCCTTCGACATTACTACCTTTTTCCAAATATATATAATATAATAACAAAAAGTTTTACATTTTTTTTTATGACAAAACTATATTTTAAACTTAAAAAAAACATTTCAAGTGTATGTACATGTTGGCTTCCCATTGGCTGCATGAGCCATCACACTATGTCCTCTCCACTGCTCGCCACGTGTCCCTCTGCCTATTGGCTGCATGAGGCCATCACACTGTGTCCTCTCCGCTGCTCGCCACGTGTCCCTCTGCCCATGCCTCCAATTTCCCATTTTACCCCTCACATCCACCATATATACACCTCCATCGTTCTCTGCTAAAAAGGGAAGTGCAGCAACAATATAAAGAAAATACAAGAGAATTTATTCAATTACCACTCTTGAAGGAAAAAGCAAAAAAAGAAGAAGAAAATGAGCTACATGAGCAGGATGTACATGGCGGCCGCCGTGGCGGCGGTGAAGAGCCACTCCGATCAAGGGCAGAAGCTCAAGTCCCTCGGCCGTGTCAAGAACCGATTTTTTTCCGGCAGGCAAGGCCCGGACGCGGCTGATCTCCGGCCTTTATCCGTCGTGGTTAAATCCGGAGACGGAGCGATTGTCGGCCCCGACAATGAGCGGAGGAGCCAGACAGAGGAGTCTCTCCGGCAGGCCATGTATTTCAATTGCTGGGGACAGGGCTGAGGGCTAAAATCGTCAATATCGGTGGCCCTAAGGGTGTAGTTGTAATTTCAGTGGATAGGGTAAAAAAGTGACTGGTCGGGATTTTTGGGGGTGGAAGTGATAGATTTGAATATATATCGGTGTGCATAAAGTGGAATTAGTTGTATTATTGAGGGCTTGGAATGCAAATTTTGTATGTTGTACAGTGTCTTGACTAGTGATGACCCTCGTAAATTGAGAGGGGTTATTATTAATGGAAATGAAATTCGAAAGTTGTGTCTGCCAAATTATCTAGGAATCCTATGTCTGAAGCTCATTTTGATTGATTTTGTTTGGATATTTTAGAGAGAATTGATACAAACTTTGTGTCGCCAAATGAAGTTTGTAAGCAACTTCGTGAGTTCAAATCAAATTCGACTTTGCAGTTGACTATTCAATTACAACAAGTTCAAGTTCAAGATTGAGGTGCTCGAGCTCAGGGAGCTCAAATTGGAACCCAACTCGTTTGAGGCCGAACATTTAAGTTGTAACAAATGTTGTTTGAGGCGCTCGAGCTCAGATGGGTTAAACTTAGAGCTCGGCTTGGTCAAATTGGAGCCCGATTCGCGCATTTGTTTCAGATGAAGTCGAGTTTGTGGTTGCACATTCAATTCACGACAAATGAGTTCAAATTTGAGGTGCTCGAGCTTGACTAGATCAAATTGACAAATAAGTTCAAATTTGAGGTGCTCGAGCTCAACTCAAATTGGAACCCAACTCGTGCATTTGTTTGCATTCAATTTTGAGGCCCGACATTTAAATTATAACAAATTTGAAGTGTTCTAGCTCAGATGGGCTAAACTTGAGCTCGACTTGGTCAAATTGGAGCCCAATTCGCGCATTTGTTTGCAGATGAAGTCAAGTTTGTGGTCGAACATACAAATCACGACAAATAAGTTCAAAATTGAGGTGCTCGAGCAGTATAGATTGACTAGATCAAATTGAAATTTCAGACGCTCATTCTTTTTTTTTTCGGTGCAATAAGGAAGTCTACGCCAAGCCTAAACTAGAACGCCTAAACTAATACTGACCGAGGATGTGCCACGCCCATCCAATCATGCTACAATCATAAGCTCGCCCCCGACGGAAGATTTTTTAATCGATGGCCAACGACGTTAAATAATCCGCCACATAATTCGCTCCCCGAGAACCATGATGTATCATACTACCCATACACAATAGCTCTTTAATGCCCATTAATAACCACGATGAGTCGTTCATTCTTTTGCAGATATATCTCGAGTGGTAGAATATTCGTGTAGGGGCATTTGAGTCATTTTAACACCAAAATTTTCACGCTTTTTTTTCCTCCGTTGTCATCAACATTCAACACCTTCGAGATCTGAACGTCTTCAGAGCAAGAAAAATTACGCCGCATAACATGGCGCTCAACGAATCTCCGTCTCCACCTGCAGTTTGCTTTCCCCCAACCATGGTAAAATCTCGACTCTCTCTCTCTCTCTCTCTCTCTCTCTCTCTCTCTCTCTCTCTCACTCTCTCTTTCTTCTTTTCGTTTTTATCAGCTGGCTTATGTCGTAGATTCCATTATACCTCGTATTTTTTCTGGTCGATTTTTTCTGTGATTTTTGAGGATATCAATGGCGCTTCGATTAGATTCATCGTGAATTTCATCAATGGTTGGTTGGGTCGGAGTATACATATTCATTTAGTTTCGATTAAATGAATGACACGCTTGATCTGGACGAATCTGGCATCTGTTTCCAAACATGAGCTGGTGAATTTAATTTTTGATTTTCAT